TAGAAACGAGCATGAGAGTGGCGTCGTAAGATTTTCTCATACCTGAGAGACGAGCCTGTTCAAGTTGGTGTACGTCGGGCGCTCGATGTCCAGCGATCGGCGGCAGATGTCGTAGATGGCTTCGTTGTCCAGCAGCACGGCGACGTCGGTGTGCTCCAGAAGCGAGTGTGTGGACAGCACGCTGTTGTAAGGCTCCACCACCGAGGTCGAGACCTGGGGTGACGGGTAGACGGTGAAACCGAGCTTGGATTTCTTCCCGTAGTCCACCGACAGGCGCTCCAGCAGCAGCGAGCCCAGGCCGGATCCCGTTCCACCACCCACGGCGTGGAAGACCAGGAATCCCTGGAGCCCAGTGCAGTTATCGGCCAGCTTCCGGATGCGATCCAGGCAAAGATCTACGATCTCCTTTCCAACTGATAGCAAGAAGATGAACAAGAAATTAGCCAACCTTTGCAAAAGAAGTTTAGATCTTACTGGTGTAGTGACCACGAGCGAAGTTATTCGCAGCGTCTTCCTTGCCACTGATGAGCTGCTCCGGGTGGAAGAGCTGCCTGTAGGTACCAGTGCGAACCTCATCGATGACCGTCGGCTCCAGATCCACGAACACGGCGCGGGGGACGTGCTTGCCGGCACCAGTCTCGCTAAAGAAGGTGTTGAAAGCATCGTCGCCGCCGCCAACCGTCTTATCGCTTGGCATCTGGCCATCCGGCTGCAAAATATCCACATATTTCGTTAGATCCAGGAATTCGCCGCCCGGATCTATGGATCAGGGCCAAATGCAGGTGAGCGGAGCACAGATCTTGCAAGAAACAAGCCATAGAGGGCCAGATCTAGCGAGAAACAAGCCATAGAGGACCAGATCTAGCACAGATCCAGCCAAATCGAGAAAAGATTGCGCGAAATTTCTCACCTGGATGCCATGCTCGAGGCAGTAGAGCTCCCAGCACGCATTGCCGACCTGGATTCCGGCCTGACCGATGTGGATCGAGATGCACTCCCTCATCTTCGCTAGCGATTAGTAGCTTCCGGCGGCAAGAGAAGAGATCGAACGAAGCTCCCAGGCTTTTCGTCTAGGCGTGTTCGAAGACGCCCGTCCGAAAATCCTGCCCTGCCGCTCAAACAATGAAATGCCCCTCTCGCGACTAGAGCTTTTTATGATATTTCACGTCGATTGGATTCTCATTACACGTCCGGATTCCACCGCTGTCAACGTGCGGCCAAGATCTCTGCATCGGCATGACATTCCGGATCACCAGATCCACGGCTGTCAATCAAATCATCCTCTCCATACGTCATTTTCTCTCTACCAAAACTGTCAGGAATTGTTTGTTCTTTCTTTGCTGTCACGAAGTCTTTGCTGTGCCGACGAGGGGAATCTCCAAGGCCGGAGTAGAAACACTCGATTCATCGTTGGCGGTAGAACCGGTCTCCTTGAGACCCTTCTTGATGATCTCGATGAACTTCATTGCATCAGTTTTGTACTGCAAACGAAGAATCAGACTGGAAACGCTAGGACTTTTGTTTTCGCGTACCTCAGATTCAGCACCACTTCGAATCTTCGACGCCATGAACAGTCGCTTCTTGAAGTTAGTTCCTAAAATGTATCAAAGAGTTAGCAAGTGGAGCTCGTCCCAACGAGAGTTTCCGTACCAACTTTGACGCTCAGCTTGCACTTTGATTCCGAGAGCGTTTCCACTGTCCATCTTGCGTGGATCTGTGCAAAGAAGTAGAACCAAAAACGAAAAATCGCATAGTCGAGTGATTACCTCGAACGAGGAACCGAATGGAACGTCATGCGCCTGTTGAATGCTTTCCCAATGCTGGAAGTAACAAGATCACGAGTTAGCTCTAACCGGCGTGGGCATATTTGTAAAAGCACCAGTAGTTTCTTCTCGCCCGAAAAGAAGATGTGCTGTGTGTCAGTCATTGCGGTGTCTGGAGGACACATTGGGCTGTTACACTTTGCTCGATACGTAACTTTCCGCAGAATACCGCTGTACTCCTCCGGATTGCGCCATGGTTCGATCTGAGCTGCAGCGAGTTAGCTAAGAAACGCACACAGAATTAAGTGAACCTGCAATTCAGTGTCTTCGCGCTCTGCTCGATAGCGCGTCGTAAAGTCCGACTTGTCGCTTAGTACGGAAGCAAAAAATTGCTCGGCAGAGCAAGGCAGCATATCCTGCAACAAATAATGTCAGCCAGCTTCAATAGAAATTCACTAACCTCTACAATGTCAACTAGAACATCGTCTTTGATAAAAGGTTGCACCACTTTTGTTTCTTCAATCGGAGTAGTCTCATCCACACTAGACACAAATGGTACGACCTGCTGCTCCTGGTACCTTGTGCTGTGAACTCGCATGAACTTATCCTGAAAATTGATAATCGATTAGTTTCTGCAATGCCAGAGGTCACACTTAGCCAGACCTGCTTCGCGGCTTCCTCATTTCCTTGATAGTTTTTCACAGCGCGTTGGAGAACCCTGTGTGCATGATTCCGGTTCCAAAAGGATGCAAATTTATACTTCGCTCTACCTATATCCAGACAAGAATGTTGTTTAGATCGCTGTAGCTCAGCAGAAACAAACTTGATACCAACCATCTGGACTAGCAAGAGGAGGAACACCCTGACCACCTGTACCAGCCCTCAAAATGATGGTGATCGCGGGGTTGATGAAGGCGTGCTGACTTTTCTTGATCTATAAGCCGAACATAGATATGAAATGGACAAAGTGACAGAGTTTACCTCTTCTACGATATCGTAAGGCAACACGACCTAGAAAACAAAGTAAATAGCCTAGAAAAAAATGTCGCCGGTGACGTACCTTTAGTTGTTTAGCAAAGACATTCGAATGAAAGCATATGTGCCAAGCAGACACGTACATACGCCCATGGTACAAAAATGATCTCTCCAGCGCGCATGAAAACTTGTGCTCAACCATCTGCACGGACAATGTTTTTTAAGAAAATGAAGCAAAAATCATCGTCAAACCATACTTCATCAGGAGGCAGGTCAAAGATTGTCTGCAGCGGCCCCGGCTTTTGACGAACTTCTGTGCCAGTCGGCGATTCTAGAAATCGTCGTCGATTGGTTCCAGCAACAGTCCTGCGATGAGCTAGTATGTGTCATTTTCTCTTCGAAATAGAACATAGTTCCTACCCTGCTGTTGGCACACGGCGAGTACATGTTTGAACGCAAACCTGAAGAGAGAAAAAGTAGTAAGCACCACTAAAACAGGATTTAGCGTTTTGCCTGTCCAGAGGTGCCAACCAAAGAATGCCAAATAGCTTCTGTTTGTCCCTCCTCTTTGATCTCGATGGTTGTCGAGCCAAGTTCTGTGCTTTTCCAGATTATATCCCAGTCGTAAATCGCTATTATGATCTGAAAAAAGCGATAGAAACTCAGTGGTGGAAGAGAGAAAAAACTGTTAACTCACGTACTTGAGCTGGGAGGTCATCAATATAAAAGTCAAATTCTTCTCCCCACATGGGATTTCTTGAACCAGGAACCAAAGAGCTGAAGAAAACACTCGACTTATGCTCAAAACAACAAAAAATAAGTGTAGGTACCTGAAACGCTTTTGAGAACCATAGGTGAGTACCGCGTAAGGATCAGACGTTCCATTTAGATTCGCAGCTGCTATATTCTTCGCCGCTAGAAGTTCCAGCTGCAGGAAAATGAAGACGCTCGTTACGTTGTCACAATGACTACCTGGAAGGGAGCTCGTATACCTTAACGAAGTACATAGGCTGGCTTCCCGCGTCCACTTTCGAAGAGTTCTACAGCAAAAGCCCCAATGCTGCATGTCAAAGAAAAGAAAAGAATATCACATGTGCAAAGCTTAACATCCAGAGCATTACTTTGATCATATGCAGCATCCCAAGCTTTCCAAAGAGAAACAAAAAAAAAAAACAACACAAGTACCAGAAAGAGAAACGAAAACGAAAGACCAAGAAAGGCAAAGAAAGCAAACAATCTTCCAAAGCGGGAGATAGGATTTTAAATACCTCTTTCGTTCTCTCCAGCTCCCTCTCGCGAATTCCCTCCACACCAAAGTCCTCCGCGGCGGAGAGAAAAAATCCCCCGGCAGCTTCTCGCAGACGTTCGACATGCCGCACAACACCAAAAATGAAGATCACCAGCACCGCCGCCGCAAAGGAAACGTTGATTTCTCCCCAGGATGGTAGCAAAACTTGCATCGCTATCTCGACCACGTTTCTCATTCTTCCTTTGTTGCTCGCTAGAGAAGAAATTTACCAAGTCCTCCACACATGAGCTCTCCAGATGCCTTCTTTTTCGTCGCTAGAGACCTTTCTTGCGGTCTTTCCCAGAGAACTAGCGCGAGGTTTAGGGCTCCCGGCAATCCAAACTGGCGTGACACCTCCTAGACCTGTTCCTGCCGATCCCGGTCAAAGCAATCCAATCCTCCCCGAAATTTCACTCGGAATCACGAGCCGCGTGTGACCGCCATTGCCTAGTCTACCGAGATCGCGCGCGGCGGCTGGAGCAGCACCATCCTGACCTACGAGGAAAGCCCGGCCGCGGCGCGAGAGATCATCGCCCGGGAGCAGCAGCGCCGCGCGGATCGTGGAGGAGGCGGGGGAGGAGAAGATCAAACATACCTCTCTCGCGCGCGATTCGCGAAGAGCACACGGCGGAGAGACGCGAGGCGCCCAGTCTCTTGCGTGTTTGCGGCCCCTCTTTAATCTTAAACCGTCCCATTTTTCCCATTTACATTCCCCGGCCCCCTTTTAAACGCTCGCGGATCGACGGCTGCGATCGCCCGGCCGCGAGTTACGAAAGAGAGGGAAATTCTTTCGTTGATCGGACATAGCTAACATTAGCGAGAAGAAAGATTTTTTATTCTCTCTCTCTTCCACGAAGAGGGAAAAGTCCCTGCGTATTTGACTTTAGAAACTTCGACGTGTTAACAAGTGGTCAACCAGTTCTCAGTAACTTTACGAGTTTTTTTTTTTTTTTTTTGTTCTTTTTTCGCTTTCTCTCTCCATTTTTTTCAAGGCTTTGCTTTGTTTGATCGATCGACACTGCAAAAGCGAAAGAGACTATCATCAGCAGCTGTCGCTAGCAACAGTGTTGGATCAGAGATGAGATTGACAGAGAAAAGTACCCGTGGGTTCGATTTTGTTCCTTCATCTTTGCCAAATCTTTGTCACTCAGTGCTGGAGATGATCATTTAGCACAGCATTAGCAACAGTAGTGTTCTTCAGCTTTCACTTTTGCTTTGATCTTCTAAAGGCAAAAAGCCAAAGCAAGAGGACGTACGTACCTTACCTCCAACGCGCAAATGGAACGAGTCAGTCAGTCTTCGTCGGATTCGCTGCTGCGCACAAGACTTCCGCGTTAGAATCATAGAAACAAAACAAAGGAGAAGAACAACAAAGAAAACGCAAACCTTCCAAGCAAGTCGGCCATTCTCATGTTTCTTCTCTGCAGGATTCGCATTGCCGGGGGCACTGTGTCCTTGACGCTGGCCGACGCTTCGGAGATGGACTCCACTTGTGTGCTCGGGCTCTGGGACTCGCTCCGAGACAAGTTGTTTGCCTTTTTGTGGTGCTTGCTGAAAAGCTTTGCCTCGTTTCGGATGGAGCTCATTAACGAGGATGTGGGAATGTGGATGAGAGGATCCTCGTGACGTTGATCCTTGCTCGTTGATTCTCGTGGAGTCGGAGCTACCAGGAGTTTTACGTGTTATTTGAGATTGTAAAAATGAAAGAAGAAAAAGAAGAAAAGCACGCTCACATTCTCGAAGCCATCCACGAACAGCAGCAACGGTTCGTTGTATGTGTTGCGGGCTTGTGTAGATGACAACATCCTTTCTCTGAGCTTCAACTACAAAGATCAAAACGAAGCTTTAGAATGGAACGAGGAAGAGAAGAAATAATCGAAAACTTACCATTGTGAACATCCGAAGAGCAGCCATTGATGGTATGACTGCCAAAATGAAAAACTCTCAGCTTGTTGAAAATGCGTTCTTCCATCAAGAAACGATCGCCTTACCTCTTTGTTTGGCCGATGTTTCGACTGGACGCATTTGACTTCCTTAGATTTGGCGAGCTTGTCGACGCTTGAGTCCCTGGCAAATCCTTCAACAGCAACGCCTTAGAATTTGCTTTTCCTTTTACCAGAGAGATTATCAGCCTGGTTAGAGGATCAAACCGGACGCTAGAGGTGTACCTCTCCTCGTAGCGATGCAAGGCTCCTTTGAAACTCCTCCATCAGAACAGTGAAACGCTTCTCCATGTCTAACGCTGTCCCTTTAGATTCCTGGACAAAAAAAGAAGAAAAAAGAAAAATCACATCACGCACAGAGCTTCCTCTTTGAAACTTACAGCCTCGAGCTTCTTTGCTGCGTGAACTTCCTCTGTGAGCTTTTCCAAATCGTTCCTCATCTTAGAAACCTCTGAAGACAAGAACAAAAAAACGTGTGGGAAAAAAACTTTCGATCGAGCTCTCAAAACTTCCAATCGGTCGTTACCAAGCTTTAGATCATTGAGGGCGCTTTGCGTCGCGGTGCTGAGCTTCTTAATCGGATCATTCTCTACTTCCGAGCACCCTGGGATCGCATTTTCTCGCCTAAGATGAATGAATAAAATATCGCCACTCACCGGAGAGAGTAGGGGAGGCGCGCTTGCTGCCTAAAATCTTCTGCAGCCTGCGAATGCGCGTCTCGTCGGCCTTCCTTTCGCCATTGCCTTCGATACCCATGACAGTTTGAGCCGTTAAGAACCCTAGAATTTGAGCTAACCGAAAAAACTATACTTTCCCCTTTGTACAAAACCTTTAAAAACTTACAAAGATCATCAAAGCTATATACTATTGCTTGTCTTTGGATTCGTTTTGTTGGAGCCACTCCATCTGAATCACCATAGCCGAGTCAAGAAAAATATAACCATAGAAAGACGAAAGAACTCACCTTCCATGCGTAGATTGCGAAAAATACCGCAACATCGGCTGACCACACAGCCGCGAACGATTTCCACACAAACGGGAGCAAAACGTTGACAAGCGGAAGTGCCAAGAACAAATAATTCAAAGCATCCTTCTCTTTAGACGAGCAGTCTCTTGCTCGAAGCGATGGAATTGCTACAAACCCAGCAGAAAAGTTTTCATCAGATAACGAAAAAAAAAGAGAGAGAGGATGGTAACTTACTGAACATCCACACGGACCACATTCCCATCAGTCTCGCAATATCAGGCTCGTCTGAAGGGAACAAATAGTTGTACGCGAGGAGACCTCCAACAGCCATCGAGAGATAGCCCTGGACTTCGAAAACGGTGTACAAAACGCTGCCTGGGACGGCCGGGTTTTTCTTTGCAGTGGACGAACGAGGAGCGAAAGTAGCGGCTGTTTTCTTCACTGCCTGGCGAAAAAACATGAGAGCGCCATGAATTTCAGACCAATCTTTCTGCTTACCTTGGAGAGTTCCTTCTCAACATTGGGACTGGAGCTCGCCTTGGTCTTTTCCTCTGTCTCGACTGTGTCGGGAGGAACAGCGTTCGCTCTGCATGATGGGAATACTCGGCTCCGAAATCTTCCGGGCGCCAAGCACGGCAGTGTTGTTGCCATAGCCATGCCCTCCACCGCTGGTTTATCTGACGTGATAGTTTATTATACGTTATCCTGTTTGCTTAGAGTATGCACTCCCTGCAACTTCAATTCCCAGAAGTTCTTTGTCGTCATCGGTTTCTGAAAGTATCTCCTCCTGTAAATTGCAAAGTGGAGCCCTTGATTGATGATCTCCCTTTCGGAGGAAGCCATACCTCTGATTTTAGTCGCTTACTGTCAAGGAGTCTCTCCACTGTGAACTGTAAAGCTCGTTGCGCTTTGCGAAAGGACGCATGCCTTTTCCGGCATTGCTCGCTAGTTACCTGTGCATGACAGACTACACAGAGAGTCCTCATGTTTTCCAGGTCGCATTCTCCTGGAAAGCAAGGCTGTAAGTATTTCATACTGACTGTCTCTAGCCTCTTACCTCCGCCAGCAAACACTGGTACAATGTGATCGGCATGCCAAGCGTTCCCCTCGATTGGATCTTCGACAAGATTTTGAAGCCTGCAAAAATGCATAAGAAGATGGGGAACAAGAAGAAACAGTAAACGTACAGCGTTTCGTGTGTGCCAAAAGCCGGGGCCTTTTTAAGAATGTAGGCTCTTCGCAAGTTCACATCGAGATTTCGGATGCACTCCACCAAGGCATGACAGTCTAGATTGCAAGTCACGCATACGCCGCGTTCCAGTCGGAACAGTTTCTGCAAATGGTAGCTCCAACGTCAGTAGGTAATAAATGTTCACTCCACGTACCTCACGCATAAAGTGACTGCTAGTCTTCGTCATGTATTCTTCGAAACAATCCGATTTGCAGAACAAGTCCTCCAACGTCGTTGGCTCCCTTGAATCTTGTCTCCTGTGATGAGCTTTATAAGCGTTGCAAAATTGCGTGGGACACTTACGTGCATGGCCTGTGACAGAGTTTGCACAGAGGATTGTCATCTGCCGTCCAAGCTTGCAAGATCGGTCTGGAAGACATATTGCCGCGTAAATAAATGTCTCTCCACGATGCTCCGTCTGGTAACGGGCAAGCCAGTTCACCGATTGGCCTTCGCCGCCTTTTGCTTCCTCCTTTCACCAATCCCTGAGAAAAAAAGGTGAGAAAAGTACATCCTTCTGCTAAAACGTAAGCATACCCCTTGAGCTTCAGTTAAGCGGCTGAGTGCCCTTGATAAAGGTAGCTGCAGTGGTCTTCCATACAGCCTTTTTCGATGAACCGGTCGTAATGTCTTCCATTCTCGAATGAAAGCCATTGAGGCGTCCACAAGAGAAGTATTCTCAAGGAGACAGGTTGGCAGCAACAAATTCCTCTCGGTGCTTGGTATCTGTTCCAGCTTCTCTAAATCCTCGGGTTTGAAATTCTCACTTAAGGCGGTCACGACAGGCGGCTCTTCAAGCGACTTCTTGTACAGATGAACTCGGCCAGTGTTCGAGCTTACCTGGAAAAAAGCCGGTGACATTTCAATCACAACGTGATACCTGTTATGTACCTCAAACATCAACAAGTGTGCATCAAAATTCCAGCTTTCATTGGACGCATTTTGTTGCGCGGTTTCAGACACAACCCGTCTTCCTTCTGGGACTTCATCCGGCAGCAGACTGTTCTGACATCTCCGTAGCAAACTGCACGCTTTCGTATCACCTGACTCTGTTTGATCCATAAGAGTTTCCACCTGGACCAAACAAGCACGTCAATAAACAGCCATGCCAGGAGAGAACTCTAGACCTCTAAACCGGGTATAGCGTCTTCTGATCCGTTCGTCATTGTAGTTACCCTTTCAAGACTTTTACTGAGTGATTGCCAGTGGCATTCATCTGATGTCTCCTGCAGCATGCAAATTTGAACCTCGACTAATAAGTTCAAGAGAAATATACCTTAGCGCAAAATATATAAATGTTAACTGCGCTTTTCTGACCTCTTCGATGTGCTCTGTCCTCCGCCTGCTAACGAACCGATTGTTAATGCAAATGACTTAAAATGCAACTGACCTGTACAAGTTCTGATGCAGTTTTCGGCAACTCCACAAACACCACATTGCGTGCAGCAGACAGATCAAGACCAACACCACCCGCTGTGACCCCGACAATAGCCACCTTTACCTTCAATTCCAGTAACGTGTCAACGGGAAACTAAATAAAACATTTTACCTCATCTTTTTGCCGGAAAATCTCTGTAGCCTTTTGACGGTCTTTCGCATCGGTGTGTCCATCTATCCGAATAAACTCAATTTCTTTTCTTACGATAAATTCCTGTTGCAGCAACTTATAAGCTAAAGTTTACTAATAAGATACAAACCTGTAGCGAGTTCATAACTTTATGGTGATGACAAAATATGATTAGTTTCTGCATTTCTTCTTTCACGGCAGAAAAGGGATTGTTTGAGAGCCAGTCCGTCACACCCTTGAGCTTTGCGATTCCAATTTCTTGCGTATTCAGCTGTCTTTCGTCTGTAGAATTTGATAGTCAAGACAAGTCGACACAAATTTAGAGTGTACAACTACCTCCGTCAGCATCAATAGAAGCCTTCGCTTCCAACATATCGCCGGAGCTTAGTCTCAATCGTATAATTTGTCTTCGCTTTGGAGGCAGCTGCGTCAGAATCTGATCCTTCAGCCTTCGTATCTAGGAGAAACAAACAAATTAAAAACTTCAAACAAATTAAAAACTAGTGGCATATATACCATAACTATTTCTCGTAACAAAATGTTTAGCTCCTCCAGCCGGACGCCTCTTTGGTAATCCTGAAAATAATGGTGAAACTACGTCATAAAATAACACAGTTGACACCTTGTACGCTGCATCACTACTTGAGCTGCAGTAGTTTCGCGCAAAATTATACTTGTTTTTTCCCAATATGCCCGGCCTGTAAACAAGGCAGATGAGCTTTCTTTGTTAAATATTAAAGAAAAAATTCTTACCACAAAGCGTTAACTTGGTTAAAAATATCGAAAGGCCTAGAGAGTGATGGAGTACCGGAAAGAAAGACCGCCCTTGGCGCAGCTCGAGCCACTTCCATCAGCGCTGTAGTCTATAGTTACTATTCAGCCGATATAAAAAATAAAAGTAAACTCGTACCTCTTCGGAATCAGTAGGACGCTTCGAGCATCGGATATTGTGTGATTCGTCAACGATTACCATCTCCCAGCTGCAACGAAGTATGCTCTCCCGAAGCCGTCTTAGCATATTGTAAGATATTACAACAACTTTTGGTGTTTTCAGATCTTTTAAATCGTCTTCTCGTCCAAACACTGCACAGGTAGACAGAGTCAAACGTTTGGAAAGAGAAGTCATCAACGTACCAAGATGAACGTCTGAAGGTGAGAGAAATGGAAGCCATCTCTCTAGTTCTTCGGCCCAGACCAGACGTAGACTAGCGGGACAAACAACAAGTAAAGATCCGTCGTTTAGATAGCATGCCGCGATGGCGATGGCCTGTGTCAAAAAACAAGCCATGAGAACAACAGAAACCGTACTCGAAGATTGATTACCTGAAGAGTCTTTCCGAGCCCCATCTCGTCGGCAATTAGCACGCGTCCACCTCTTCGCAAACCATATCGAATACCATCCCACTGAAAAGGCAATAAGTATTGCTTCAACTTCCAAGGCAGGCCTAGCAAGAGCTTGTCCACGACTGAGTCTGGAGCATGCCTCGGGTGGAAGGGAAGCCACTGGTCAGCGTTTCTTAGTTGATGAGAGCAGCTCCTCAAAGAATTGCGTGTGCTCAATGGTATGTGCTCCAACTTCACTCCAGGCAACCTCTGCAAAACGTCTGTCACGACCTCGTAGTCTCTCAGTCTATAGACTGGACAGCGATTATAATCGTTGCATGATTTCCAGCACACTGGTGGCACCTACAAAGGGGGAAAAAACCATGAACTTTGAGAAGGAAATTCTTTTTATTCTCAAACGATAGCTAGACTTACCGATTCCAGCCAATGGTGCACTCGGCGAAGTACATCAGAGCAACAGGAATGCGGTGGCACTACGAAAAACTCGCGCGCCGAGCAAATCTCGAGAGAAACCAGATGTGTCTTGCCGCATTTCTCACCGGAATTCGCCAAAGCTTCCGCATTTTGAGAAGATCTCTGGCGCCGGGCCAAAGCGGCCGCCCGATTCGCCTCCATTCTCCTGCGCTGCTCCTCGCTGATCTCCATGCCCTACTAGGGCTTGAGGAATTGTGACCGTTTAAAACTTTAGGCCTTTGTATTTTTTGTAAGGAATATTCAGTTACTTCAAGACAATAATTTCTGGTTTTATTGATCTACAAATGATGGAGAGGATCCATCCTTTTTACACTAAAAATGGAACCCTTTCTTGTCCTCCTTGTCCTTGTTCTTTGAATCTTCATGATTCATAGACTTCTTTCTGCAGATGTTGATATTGATGTTGATGTTGTTGTTATTGTTGTTGCTCCTCCTGTGCTTGTGAGACCCATGGACTGGAGGACCTCCATCTTCATGATCATGAACTTCATTTCCATGATCATGATCATCCATCTCAGGAGGATGCATTAGAGAACTGGATGATGGCTCCACTGATGAGTCTTGATCAGCAACACCATTGCCCAAAGACAAGAGCTCCCTTCTACCCAAAGAAGAAGACACTGCTACCTGAAAACTCGCAAAGGCAAAAACTAGGAACAACACCAAAGCAGCCTTCATTTTTGTAGTAGTGATTAATGGAGCTCAATCAACTCTTACTGAATAATCGCTAGACCTTCCAGGCCTTATATATTATGTTATACTCCAGCATGCATTGCCAAGTGGTTGAATGCTTCATGCATTCAACCATTGCTTGATAAAAATCAAAATCTAATATTGTGAACATATAATGTCAGGATGGCCGAGCGGTCTAAGGCGGCAGACTCAAGTTCTGCTCCTCTCACGAGGGCGTGGGTTCAAATCCCACTTCTGACATGAAAATGTACCCTTTATATTTATACATTCACATTCAAGAACAAAAACTATATCACTTTACCTTTACGTTTTGCAGTTTATCGCGTCAAGTCATTGTTTCTCGACTTTGGCAGCATCATCCGATCCTGCTAGAGCATCGTAAGTAAGTAAACTGACAACACACTGCCATGAGAATCCCTTCTCATATGAAACCAGCATGTCCGCATGCTAACCAAAACACTCGTGAATGTTTCTGTAGCATCTGTAAGAATGCCTGTATAGCCTCTGTGCTGTAGCCTGTAGAGCAGTACGCTTCCACCATGAAGTTCCTCGAAAACCAGTTTTTCTCCCCGTCCGGGCTCTCTCAAACACTGCCACACTTTCCGTGCATGTCCACGAGTGCGTTGCCGACGAAAACATCTTGCTCAAGGCCACACTTTTCATGAACTTCTTGCCCCGCTTCCGGAGCCAGGAGAATCGCAGAAACGAAACGCAGCAGTAGGCGTCAGCCACCATCTTCGTGGACTGCATCGCTTTTAGACTGGAATGGCCGCTGATCATCTTTCTCCAAAGCACTGGACAACTGTGAGCCATCCCGCCAAACATCATCCAAGCCTGCACACTCGCGATGTATGCATGTGTACAGCGAAGCGTTGACGAGATCGTTGCTCTGGAAGTCATAAGCAGGGACGAGCTCGGCCAAAAGTCCAACTCTCAGCACAGGTGCTCGGCGATCCCCATCCGGACGAGCTGCTTGTGGATCCACCAGCGCCTTGAGCTGGGTACACAGGCGGACAAAGTAGACGGAGTAATTCCTCTCCCAGGAAGCATAATCCTGCCTGTACTGCGATTGGCGCCGATCGATGACCCAAAATGCAAGTACTCGGAAGGCGAGACAAAGAGAAATCCTACCTGGGGTCACGCACGTCACAAACCAGAAGTCCTACTTTTCTTTGTTGTCTTGAAAGTCAATAAAAGATCGCAACAATCTTTTTGGTAGCAACAACATCATGTAGTGATTTGGAATAAATACTCATCAATGTTTGACTCGATCACTGGAGATATAATAGTTTTAAGCGAGGAATCATCGAAGTTGTCTTCCATTAGAGATTTGGGGCATGGGCCCGATCGTTGCTTACATTCTTGTGGTGCTTCTCTTCCAGAGCTCGACATCATCAGGTATTACTTTTCCTCCACAAAAATCTTTCATTTGAATCAACAGATAGTTTTGTTTGATCGATCTCTATGAATCATGCACAGCTATGTTCAGTTTCATACAAGAAGCCACCGATCTCTCGAGCTCGGATTTGTTTAACTATGACTACATAATCGTGGGTGGTGGAACCGCGGGATCACCCCTTGCCGCGACGCTTTCGAGCAAATACAAAGTTCTCGTGCTCGAGAGGGGGGGATCACCGTACGGCAATCCAAACATCACCAGGATCGAAAACTTTGGAGCAATTCTATTCGGCGACAGCCCCCAATCGCCACTCCAGGTCTTCTTCTCCACCGAGGGCGTACGAAACGGGAGAGCTCGAGTTCTTGGAGGAGGATCCAGTGTAAATGCCGGGGTTTATTCTCACGCCGAGCAATCTTTCATCACTACTCTGGGTCTCAATCCTTGCCTGGTGAATCAGTCCTACCGCTGGGTTGAGAGTGTCGTGGCTTCCATTCCAGATCAACTTGGGCCTTACCAGACAGCGTTCCGGCAATCGCTACTCCAAGCTGGAATCACACCCGACAACAACGCGACGTATGATCACTTGGTTGGAACCAAAACTTCTGGTACCATATTCGATCATTCGGGAACTCGAAGGCCAGCTTCAGACCTCTTTGTCTATGCGAATCCAAGAAACATCAAAATTCTCCTCCATGCCACAGTTCTACGAATTCTCTTCTTGCAAGGTTTGTCTTTGTTTTCGAAAGAAACATTGCTCATATCCCTTCTCTTGAAGGTGTATCGCCAAAAGCGTATGGAGTGGAGTTTAAAGACAAGCTTGGGCGTATCCGGAAAGCTTTTCTTTCCCCCAAGCGATCCAGCGAGGTAATTCTTTGCGCAGGTGCGATTGCAAGTCCACAGCTCCTAATGCTAAGTGGAATCGGACCTGGAAGCCATCTTCAATCCAAAGGCATCAAAGTGATCAAGGATTTCCCAGAGGTCGGGAAACATATGGCAGACAACCCCACAATCTACTTGTTCGTCCCATCGCCATCTTACGTCGAGGTCTCCACGAGTCTAAGCGTCGGGATCACGTCCTTTGGGAGCTATATCGAGGGTGATAGTGGAGGAACGCTAGCGCCCAACGCGAGCTTCCTTGTTGAGAAGGTCAATGGCCCAGCTTCCATGGGCGACCTCTACCTGGCCACCATAAATGTGGATGACAATCCAGTTGTAAGTTTCAACTATTTCCAAGAGCCAAGAGATTTGCAAGTTTGCGTTGCAGGCGTGGATGCAGTGGAGAAAGCATTGCTCTCAAACGCTTACAAACCTTTTCGTTATGATAATCAAACTCTCCCCTCCGGAGGAACAGTGATTTCTCCCAACAGGAGTTATTCAAGTATGGGCGCCATCAACAGCACCCTTGCAGATTACTGCAAAAGAAACGTCGCAACTTTGTATCACTATCACGGTGGCTGCTTGGTAAACAAGGTGGTAGATTCCAACTTCAAGGTGATTGGGGTACACAACTTACGTGTGGTGGATGCTAGCGTTTTATACATCTCGCCTGGAACCAATCCACAAGCCACTCTGATGATGCTTGGAAGGTATATTTAGTTTTATCTTAAGTTTGATTAATTTAGTTTTCTGAACTGATAGGTATGTCGGGAAAAGTATCGTCGACAAGATCCCTCCATGCTAAGAATAATTTCATCTAAACCATACATACATAAATTGCAAAAGTGTAAAAGAATCAAATAGTATTATCTCTAGTGAAAATGCACTAGCAAGTACGTCCCTCAGCCATGAGCTGTTGGAGACTGCGTTCTGGCTGGGCAACAAGAAACTTCTGCGGTTTGTGGAATTGGAAATGAAAAGCGATGAACCATTGGAGAGATGGATCAGGAGATATGGCCTTGCGTGGCCGCTGGAACCGCCAAGACATGGACCTTGCTTTGGTAATGTAATAAAGGATATCAACAGTGATATTTTTAAAATTTATGATATGATTTTATAGTTCTTGATTCTTGTCATTGTTGTGCATACATACTAAAAAAGTAGAAGACTTAAGAAATATGAGTTTACTTGGAGCTAACAGATTGCCCATGTCAGATTTTTTTTATGAACAAAGAACTTATTTACTGCTTTACTTTTATACTCAGGGAAAACTCCTTATAACCATATAAGCCAAGTGATCAACAAATTTTTTTAATTTTAGCAAGTATATGCCACTGTTAATACTGGAAAAAACCTCTAATTCTTATATAGCAAATTTAGCTATCAAACTCTAGATTTGATCATGGGGAATGACAGTTTAGGCTAACATTGTTTTCAGAGGGCAACCAATTACAATTCTTAGTTGCTACCCATGGCAGTACATTTTAAGAATATAACATTAACATAAGTGCATATACCATCTACCTTAATTGTATACTCCTACAACTCAAATAAATATAAAATAAGAATTTATATAAAAAATTTACAAAATTCAAGATTATAACATGTTAAAACTTAGACTTATAGTTTGTAAGAAAAAAAATCTCTTTCTAATGTATTTAAGACAAAAATCCCAAGAATCCACATTTTAAACAGATAAAGAAAGTATATTATTATATGAAGCTATTTTTATTTAATATTAAATTTAAAAATATAATTATAAAATATAATCATAATTGTTATAATATATTGAGAATTATAAAAATTTAAATTATATTAAATAAACTTAAAGCCTTGCACAAACTATCACCAGGATTCTCTCAATCAATTTGGTTTAAATAAAAAGGGACTATTTTTGTCTTCTTCAAGGATCCGCATAAATCAAAAGCAAATGTAAATATTACATGACTACTTTGCTGTCGTACTACTTTACAAGGATACCTTTCGTCGTTAGAATGGCCAAGCATAAGCTGTCCGTGTTCGCCCCATACCCAAGTATAACTGCTTCTCTACAAGCAATTCCATCGCTTGACTCCTACAGTGTTTCGATTTGTGGCAGCAAATGGATAGCGCAGCTTTGAGCGCAGTTTTCTTTAACCAACTTAGCATATACCTTATTCTCTCCAACGTACAAATAAAGGCAGCTGATTACCAGTGCTAAGAATTGGGAGAGAAATCTGGTGAGAGTTTGTATTAATGAGGAAGCATTTAGCTCCAACTTCTTCAACTCTATACCCATGCTCCATAATAAGTGTGACAAAGCTGGGGCTGAAGGAATCAATAGGTGTTCTTGGCATTTTGTGGAAGGTCTTGTTACCACCACTCTAAATTGGAGATTTCTCCTAATGTGTGATTTTATTCAAGTTTACAAAGAGGTCAGAAAATTTTGTTTGATTTCTCTTGTATGGAGATGGTATTCCAAAGTAAAAATTCACAAAATTTGGGAAGCATGGAACCACACCTCATCTGTCATGGAGCCTTCAACCTGTGAACTCAATTTTCTGTCCCTTTCCAATGCTATCAAAGTTGCTTGCCACACCCTGGTTCTCGCGGATAAATTTTCTTTCTTCTCGCTTGTGTCGTTTGCATCCAAATCGTGAGTATGTATCTATTTGTTTATTCCGTATCTTCGAACAATGAGAGATACAGGCAAAGGTGATGGCTGAGTTGTCAAGCTTTTGGACTAGCCAAGCGCAGCCAGCTCGGCAGCCCTTCATCCGAAGAGCTCGACAAAGTGGCTTTTCTACAAGCAATTCCATCGCTCATCTCCTATGGTCAGCAAATGGAGACCACAGCTAACCAGTGGTGAGTCTTCAAAGAAATTTCCTTTTCTCCAGGAAATCAATTCCATCTTCTGGCAGGCATTGGCCAGCTCGGGAAAAGCATCAAACGGACGCTTACATACTGTTTCTCGCAAGTGAAGAGCTTAACTTCCGCGAAGTTTCTCTCGGCTGGAACCATGGTCTTATCTCAAGCGGTTTTTGAAATCAGTGTCCTGCAGAGAATGGGGAAGGGCATGGTCAGCTTGTATCCTCTTAATGTTTTATTTCTTTCTATGTTTCAAAACAGGAATATAATCTGTGACAAATGTTGCGAGCGGTCGAACATGACATTTTACAGAGTACACGTGTTGGAAAACCACAGCACAGAGCCTGGTCCTTTTTATTCATGCTAAATCTCCGGTGTTTTCAGCTGCTGGGGACGAAAGGCTGCCGAGCTGACCGCGCTTCGCTAGTCGAAAAGCTTTGACAACTCGGCCATCTCCTTTTCCTGTATCCCTCATTGCTAGAATAGAAAAGAGAAAGAAATAGATTCACTCACGACTTGGATGCAAAGCACGCAAGGAAGCAAGAAGGAACATTTTACCGGAGAGAACCAGTGTGTGGATTCCACATTGGAAAGAACCAGAACTTTACAGGGAGTTCTTCGACTTACAAAGTCTCAATCTCCAAAGGTGAAAAGCTCCCCGGATTCTTGGAGGGAAAAGAAAAGAAGAAGAAAGTCACAAAAAAGAAGAGAATTGATCTATCTTACCAGTGATAAATGCGGTGTGGTTCCCCAGCAGATACTTCGCAAAACTTTGTGACCTCTAAAAAATTCTATTACTCTTGGAACAACAGCAGCAGCAGCAGCATCCTCAGAATTAGGTTATTTAGTCTGAATAAGAAAATTTGAATGAATTTATCTTATACAATCAGATAAATGCTTCAATATTCTGGATATATTAATTATTTGAACGTTTGCATAAACGAAGATCACTCTCACTCGCTACGTTTTGAAAGCGCACATCTCAAACTCCAAAATCAAAATGGAACTATCGTGGCCCCAAGGTGGAAATCTGCGGGGATTCATTGGAAGCTCCCGAGGAGATCCTGGTGGAGTCATTGCGTAGGAGAGTGAAGACGATCGGTCCAAGTTCTCTGGAACGTGAGCGTTTGAGTACCCTGCCAGCATCGGGACGACGTGAGGCATTGACGGCCGCGCCTGAGGCAAGTCTTGAGTACACATGAGCGCCAGTGTCACCAGCTGCAGCGCCTGGCTGTTGGAAACTTCGTTCTCCAGTTTCGGTTCCACAAAGTCGCGAAATACCCCTCCTGTGTCAGCCTGAAGCTGCCATGCCTGGAAAACAATTCCGCGAGCCTTACAAATCTTAAATACAAACACTAATTTTTTCAAGTACCTCGTCCACCAGCGATCTGTCTCGGTTTCTTTTGCCACTCACGGTTTCCAGAATGACGATTCCATAGCTGTAAACATCGATCTTGTCACTCAGCTGACCATTGAGTGCGTACTCTGGCGTCATGTAGCCACTGCAAGATCATCGAAAGCATGTTGTAAAACATCAAGTACTATGGAACTTACTATGTTCCTGCAGCTTTGGTGGTTAGAACCTCCAGCTGATGGGACGATTCGAACAGCCTTGCCAATCCAAAGTCGGCTATCTTGGCCTCGTAGAACTCATCCAGGAGAATGTTGCTCGGTTTGATGTCCCTGTGTACTATTCGTATTTGTGAGTCTTCGTGGAGATATGCTAAACCACGAGCAGTTCCCAAGAGAATGTTATGGCGAGTTTCCCAGGACAGGGGCTTCTCTACAGCGCCTGAGACACGGCCAGCCAGCTTCAATACAATCTTTAGAAGTATAAAGAGATCAAACGTACCGAACAAAGCGTTTTCCAAACTGTTGTTCTTGAGGAACTCATAGACAAGAAGCCTTTCTGTGCCTTCCATAGAACATCCCAGCAGCTTTACCAAGTTCCGATGCTGCACGCTGCTGATCGCCTTGACTTCGTTCAGAAACTGAAGCTCACCGTGCTTGGAGGTGACGGTGAGCTTTTTGATCGCCACTTCGGATCCATCTGGAAGATATCCCTGTTCAGGAAGAAATCCACGAGTTTCAATTCTGAAAGAACAATAAAAACTCAAGTCTACCTTGTAAACAGCACCAAAGCCACCTTCACCGAGCTTGTGGCTTTCGTCGAAGTTCGCAGTGGATGATTTCAGCATCCGATATGGGACCGTAACTGGTCCCCCGATGCAAGGTACATTGTAAGTCATTGGCTATCGCAGAAATGAAAATTCGTAAGTGCTTCCAAGTAAGCTGGCTTCAAATGAATTTACCAATTTTTCGCCACCACCAATTCATAGCAAGAACTATACCAACACCTAGCAGCACTGCGGCGATTACTCCCACGATTATGCCTACATTTCTTGCTTTGTTGCTACCTTCAGAAAGACAACAAGGTTTAAAAATATAACAAACAATAAGAATGAAAAACAATCACCTCCGCCGGAAGTGGAAACCGCGGTACTGCTGCTTGCGTTGACGGGAACTCCACCAAAAAACTTGAAACTCTCGTACTGCATATTGCATTCAGCCAGGTAGCAACTTCCTCCATCTCTGCCATTGCAAGTACTGGACAATGAGCTTCTGGCTTTCTCCAAGCAGGTCGTGCAGTCAGAAGTGCTCAGATCACGAACACATTGTCCCAGAACGTACGCGCTGTTGTCGGGAGAAGTTCCAGCAACAGCTATCATGAAGCCACCAACACTACCTGGAATACGGTCTCTCAGAAACGCAAAACCGGTGTCTGTGTTCGAACGGTACTGGCTGGAGTTACTGATGCCGGACGAGCAGTTCACCAAAGCCGAGTCGATTCCAGAGTAATTCGAAAAGAAGTAGTGATCTTCGTAGCGTAGAAAACACGTCTCTTCCTTGCACCGTCCCCCCTTTGTAGAATTTCTGACGCAGGATCCATTGAGAGACTTGATGGCCGTCGAAGCGCAGGCATTGCAGTCGTTGGAGGAGATGTCTCCACGGCATTGTAGGAGGCCAAACACTGTGTCAACTGTAGAGCCATTTTTGTTGCTGTTTATGATCACCGTCTTGTAATCCGTGGTGTTTGCCAGAGAACCAAAAGCCTGGATGATATTCCTGCGATACTGCTGGCTAGTAAACGTGTAGAGATCTGAGCATCGTGTGGAATTCTTTGATGTCAGCAGCTGGCCGCTAGCAATTCTGTACGTTGGAATAAAGAGGAGGATGCACAGCTTCCCAATAACCAAGAGCCTAGCCATTGCATTGCTCGAGCTCCGCTTCTCATTTCATTGCCGTGTCAAAAGACTTACTTGAACCAATGCTGAAGAAGTCCACAGAACATAGTTGGCTCCATTATGAAATCTGGATTGTAATGGCAAGAATCATGAACCATGTGGTCCTCAGATAGCGTCAGGAAATCGAACTCGCTCCAGAAAATAGCTTTTTCTTTGAAATCGAAGTGGTTCGTTTCCCCATCAAAACAGCTCCAAAGCTCTAACCGGTTTCGGGCAAGAAGTACTGTTTTTCTTGTTAAGTTTTAAAAAAAAAAAAAACGGAAGGAAAGGATACCGCCTAGCGGGGACTTCCGCGACTGCTGGCCTTGTAACTAATAGCAACGCGTCTGTGAGGAACATCGTTGTGATCCTGCATAGCGTGCATAATTTGAAGCAAAAGATAAAAGCAATTTTGCCTAATGGATTGTGATGGTTTAAGTAACCTATCTGCAGCTTTACAAAGGTAGAAAATACAGTCGAAAAAAAAAAAATGCAGACGTTGAGCCAGTACCACAAGCTGACAGGAAAAAGTTCTTTCTCTACAAATTGATGAAGCTTCGATTTGTTATCCACAAGCCTATCAGAGCACCAATTGTTGCAAGGGAAGATAAAGTTGGATAACTGAAAAAAAAGGGACGAAGTTAGTGAAAGCGAAGAATGTAAATTAGCACACTGATCTTCGGTGGACGCTCTTGTTTTCCCAGGGAGGATCAATCACGATAGGATTGTAACCCGTTAAATACGAAGCTCAAACTTTTGCGAAAAAATACATATTAACAGACTAGCCGATGAATTTTAGAGAAATGGGCTCACCATGAGAAACTGACTTTTTCGGGAGCCAGCGCTTGAAGCGACTTCCTCCGCGGAGGAGCTAGATTTTTAAAGAGCGGGACACATTTCCTGGACTCGAAAGTTTGGAAAGTTGTTAGAAGGAAGCAATAAAAACATTAGTCCGAATCTGTTCCCACCTTTTGAGGAAAGCGTGATATCGTAGAGTGGAGCTTGAAATGTCCCCCAGTTTTACATTGCTTGTTTTGAGTTTTACTATCTCCTTGAGCTTCTCTTGCGCAGCTTCATTGGACATAAATGCCTTGTGAGACTCTAGCAGAATCTCTCCTGCCTCCTGATGAGAAACACGAACAGAAAAGTGATGAGAAAAGTCGATGTAAACGAAAAATGCTCCAAGAACAAACACAAATGAGAAAGACAAAACTAGTACCTGTTGGCGTTGCTGAGCTAGTAGCTCCTTCATTGAAAACATACGTCAATGCACTGCTCACGCTCATAAACCCTACATATACTCCATATCCACGGTGAAAACATTGTCCCTTTTGACGATAATTTATATAAATCTAACATGAGGAGCGTTTTGCAAGGAACTAGAGGTGAATTTCAGCAACTTTTCTTTCGGTTGAAATGAACTAGGTATAAAGCATTAAGTGAAGGAATTAAAATATTAAAATTCTTTTTTATATATTAATATCACATCTTTCCATGGGATTCAAATTTTAAACCTTTATTTATTACCCAGATTAAGTCTTGGATTAAGTTCTCCAGCCCTTTGCGATACAGGATCAATATTAGTTGCTATAACGTTGTAGTAGCCAATACTGATTCTGTTTTGCAAATTAAGGCAAGACACGTAGTTGGTAATGTGGCAGGGGAACCAGGTTGTTAGAAGGGGGATCAGCTGGCACAAAAAACTCAAACTTGCTAAATTTTTTAAAAAGGGTGCACTTTCTTTCCTTTTATACTTCAATAAACCTTTTTTTTAATTTGTTGCTTATAAATTATTGTAAATCCAAAAACTAGTGATATTAATGTGTTACATAAAGGATTGGTGTTTGAGATTATTCGCCCCAACCAGGATAGGCCAGAGATTTATAGTGCTTCCTTGAGGGAAAAAAAAAAAATCTCACCAGGAGCTTTTTCTTTGTTATCCAGCTCCAGGCAAACTACAAAACAGCACAATGGTTGGCATGATGCATTGCATCAGTTTTAGCACCAAATTTACCCTTACTAACCACCTGGGCAAGTACTAATTTTAAAATAACACAACTTTTGGCGTTTCAGATCTTTTAAATCGTCTTCCCGAGAAGATCTGCTCAAGACGCTGCAGCTTTGGCGGTGAGAAATGCGACAGGACACATCTGGTGCCCGGCCAAAGCGACCGCTCGATTTGCCTCCATTCTCCGGCGCTGCTTCTCCATGCTCTACCAGGGCTTGAGGTGACCGTTCAAAACTTTATTCCAGTTTGTTAATTTGTGCTCCTTAAAATCGTGAAGATTTCGTGTGCAAGAGCTCCCGTCTACCCAAAGAAGAAGAAGCTATCTGGAGAGTGGCAAAGGCCAACACCAGAAACAACACCAAAGCAGCCTTCATTATTGCAGTAGAGGTTAATGGAACTTGATCAATTCTTGCTGAATAATTGCTAAACCTTTCAGGCCTTATATATTATGTTATTCTCCAGCATGCATTGCCAAGTGGTTGAATGCTTCATGCATTCAACCATTGCTCGATAAAAATCAAAATCTAAGATTATGAACATATATTGTCAGGATGGCCGAGCGGTCTAAGGCGGCAGACTCAAGTTCTGCTCCTCTCACGAGGGCGTGGGTTCAAATCCCACTTCTGACATGTATAAGTAGTTTTGAAAGGCTATCTAAGAGAAGGCAGTTCTTGTGTAAGTTCGTCAGAAGAAAATATAAAGGCCAGTATCTATGAAAAGCTCAGCAGCCGTGAAGAAGATTGGGAGTTCTTCCAAATGATCAGGGCCAAAAACATGCTCTTGGGTGGTGATGCTGTTGACTTATGCTCAAATGTTAAAATTGAAGTAGACCTTTGACAACTTGTAAGCCTGATCGCACAGCTTATTCTGGGCATCTGGCTCAGCGTATGTCAAACGCTGTAAGGGAAGAGCTAGAAATTGACTGTGCTCTTCCAACATTCGGTGGTCTATAGTATAGTGCATTCTGTGGGTTGGAGTCCTCGTATGATCCAAATTGAAGAAGTCCGGCGGTGACAAAGCCTTCCCTCTCTATAGAGATTGAAAATAGATGCATTTTCAGCTGGAGAGTTACCAAAAACTATAAAGCAGTTGATGAGAGAGAGGTGCGACATGGTCATATACTGTAAACATCTTCTCCTGATGAAAAGTATACATTGTGTCGTGAAACTTTCTGGAGCGGTTTCCGTCTGGCAGCTTCTCCTTGGCTTCTTTCAGGGCTTCTTTCAAGCAGCCAGATCGTCCCAGAAGACAGGTTCTTCAGCTATTGGAATCGCAATCCCTTCTCGTATCCCAAACTGTAATGAATGTTTTGGCGTTTGGCTTCACTTATATTCTTATATAGCTAACGCTGTAGAGCAGAGCTCGTTCTTCTACCTATTGTCAAACACCTTCCGGGGGCCCGGGCCACACGAGTGCGTACATCTTGGCAACGCAGCTAATGGCATCAGCCACGCTCTTCGTGGACTCCAGGGCTTTCAGACTGGAATGGCCGCTGTACGCTGCTATATCATATTGCTTCAAAACTGGACCACTGTGAGCCTCGAACATCATCCAAGCTCGCACACCAGCGAAGAGTTGACGAGGTCGTTTGCTCTGGGAGTCATAAGACCTGTGCAGTCCTCCAGGTGCTCGGCGATCCGCATCTGGACTTGTCATGAAAGTCAGTAAAAAGGTCACAACAATCTTTTTGGTAGCAACAACATCACGTTTTTATTATGCGTGGATAGATCACTCTAGATATATGGTTTTTTAAGCGAGAAATCCATGTAGTTTTTCTTCCATTAAAGATTTGCACATGGGCTCGATCGTTGCCTACATTCTTCTAGCGCAGTTTTGTTTGATCAATCTCTACGGAATATATAATCGTGGGTGGTGGAACCGTGGGATTGCTCCTTGCCGCAACGCTCTCAAGAAAATACAAAGTTCTCATGCTCGAGAGGCGGGATCACAGTACGGC